CACACTAGTAATATCACTATCCTCCCCTCATGGCTTCGTCCCTTTTTCTATCTAAAAAATATATTCTGAAAAGGATAAGAGGCTGCAATATCATAGCATCAGCTACGTGCACTCCGCCCATCTTTCGGACGACTGTACGGACATATTCTCGTTGGAGAAGAGAACTGGTCATGGCACAAATACACAGTGCTTGACTACAGGTGGAGTGAAACGTGAGACTAAACAGACAGCTGATGAACAGTGTGGAAACACCTGAGCAACATGACAACTGAGAACAGGTGAGAGTGGGCGGGGCAAGATCTGAGAAGTGAGCCATAGAACAAAAGTGTATATAAAGATTAAACAAATGAACACACAGGAAACATGAATGATAAATGGACTGTACTTATAGCACCTTTCTATCTTATTTCAAGATACTCAAAGCACTTTACACAATCTGTGCCTCATTTACCCATTCACACAGGACTAGATCTCTACAAAGCTAATTGAACAAATCATTTGAATGAGACTAATCGGTGCTTTTAGATCACATTCATACACCGATGGGACACACATCAGAGGCTATGAGGGGTTCAGTGTCTTGCCCAGGGACACTTCAGCACGTGACTGCTGGTGGATTCGAACCCCCAACTCTCGCATTGGAGGACGACAGCTCTAACCACTCAGCCACAGCCGCCCACAACATGAGTAAACGCAAGAACCACAAACCACACAAAACAAACATGATAAAAGTTATAAAAACTATTATTAGTCAAGACTGTAGTGGGGCAGGTTTACATTAGACTTTTATTTTTAAACAACAAGGATATGCTATTGTAAATTACGTTTATTGCAGTTTGGCATCATCTAATGGAAACAAGCAAGGTCTTTCCTGGAAAAAGTACATTTCATTTTTGCAGTTCATGCTCTGTAGTTATCATTCGGTGCTGTAGAAAAAGTTTACAAAATTTGGGCTGAGCATACTAAAAAAAAACACAAATATTTTTGTTTCAAGATTTGACTAGATCCATTTGCTACTAATCTTTAATAATTTACTTTTGTTTACCCATTACTTTGCAGCAAATTAACTTGGTTGCATAACCAGCTCATGTTTGTTTTTAGATCCTGTTTTCTCTGAACTACAACTGATTTCAGTCTTGTAGAGGTCACCCCCTGCAGCCGTCTCCAGACAGATTTCTTGCTTTCTGGGGGGTTGAGAAAATGCAGAAGTTTTTTCTCCCTGGAAAATGGGTGAGGGGCTGAATGTTGAGGAGGGAAAGAAGGAAAAGAGGGAGGAGATGCTGAATGGGAATTTTTAGCAGACTTTGAGTACTTACTGGCCAAACTAAAGCTGTTTATATTGAGTATTAGTCACCAACTTTCCTGTTTCTGTCCCCCGCTCTTATCCCTCAGTGCCCCCCTCTCCTTTTTGTTCTGAATAGCTCCTGAAATAGAGCCCACTGGAGGGAAATGTGCAAAACTGAGTAGACAGAGAGGGGGTTGTGTGCGAGCAACGCGATACGATGGCGGTGTGAGAAACGTGTTCAGGAGAAAGATCTGAAGTGAATGAAAAGACTGGGCCATGAAAATCCACTGAGATTATAGAAAGAGAAGGAGGGGAGAGCCAGAAAGAAGAATAGAAGAGCAGAGAGAAAACGGGGTGGAGAATCAGGCAGCGAGGCGTGATCAGGCTGAGCCTCAGAAAGAACGCTGGTGAAGGTTCACTGCTGGATTTCCTGCCTCATAAGAACATTCTCAACAAAAAACACGAGACCTTTACGAGGATCACACTTTTCTTCTGTGATACCTTCTGGATTATTGTGGACCTTGGACCTAATTGTTTTATTTAAACTAAAATTACTCACAATTCTTATATTTCCCAAATAAATTTCCTGTGGGACCATTGTTTGCCTCTGACATGGGGTCTGGAAAGGAACTACTTATTCTGGGTAAGTGTATGAATGAGAGCTCTCTCTCTCTGTGTGTGTGTGTGTGTGTGTGTGTGTGTGTGTGTGTGTGTGTGTGTCCTTATATGAGGGTAACTCTGCTGGTGCTAAAACCAGTGAACAAAAAGAAAGAAAACTGAAAGGAAATGGGAAGTTTATAAATGTTTTAACATTTCAATCATGAACCTCTACACGTTGGAGTTATTTATTTATAACATATGAGCAAGCTGGAAACTAAAATACATTCCTTTAATAGAATAAAAGACTATTTTGAATTTATTTAAATAAAGAACCACAAGATTTTAAAATGAGAAAGGCTGACTTTTGAGAAAGTAACACTGTCATGTTGGGAAAATTTAACAGAGTTCATGATCTTCGTGTCAGAAGTTGAATAAGATTTAAATGAATTAAATAAGTGAGAGGATTATTAAGTTATTAATCTGCCTTTCCTTTGATCGGACTCAAACATCATTATTACCTATCGCTGAAGGCAAAGACAGTCGATAGTGTTTTTGCCAGTTTTTGTCTGTACTGTTAGCAAAATACCTCCTGAATCACCAGAATGGTTTTGATAAAACTTTCAGAAATAAATATTTGACTGTTCATTTACAATCAAATGACTGTTGAAGTCAAGATGTCCGCCACAGCCAAGCAATATTAGCAAACATAAACACAGCTCAAACTCAGTCGATTTTACGAATATTGAGGTAAAGTTTGGTGTTGCAGTAGCTGAGAGTCATTCCCAACACATATATTGAATGCTAGCTGATTGCCCATGATCTGTTTTTAAAACTTTGCCATAAACTACTGTAATCAACTGTGTCTGTCTGTTAGAAAAAATCTCATAAACCACTAGACAGATTTTAATGACACTTGCTAAAAGTAATTATTGGATGTCCTTCTATAACTGAATGACTTTTGGAGTCAACCCACATTAAGATTGCCACTAAAGATAATCAGCAACAGCTTACACTAAAAGGGCTATAATTAAACAATTTTTTACAGTTATTTAACTAATATATGGGGTGGTAGTAGCTGACAGTCTTCCACAACCCATACTCCAACCGCTAATAGTTCATGTGAGATATAGCAATATTGCATTCAAATGCACTTAAAATTATTTTCAAGGTTTAACAAAAATGGCCATTATTCTATCATTTTTCAGCATCAGATGATTTTAGTTTAAAACTTGGACTAATCTGAAGGGTGTGGGGACGCAGAGGTTGGAGAAGGCCAGGGTTGCAAGGGCTAAGACTTTTATAAATTAATTTAAACTGGACCTATTTTCTTTCATTTCACAGCACGAGATAACGGTAAATAAACCGAGTCAAAATGAGTAGCGCATGTGAAAAAAGTACTTTCATTTTAGTGCATAAACTATGAACTCTGTAATTTAGCACATTTGATATAAGTAACTTTCTAATGATACAGTATGTCCACTGAGTTTAAAGGCGATTTAGTTTCACTTCTTGAATTGTCACAGTCGTCACTAAGATCAGATGATCTCCAGCCTCCTGACAGAAGTTGTTGAATGAAATGTAGATTTCAGACAGATGTTGGTTATCGTGTTTTCCCTCTGACCCTGAATCCTCAGCACTCATTGCAACATCATAACACAATTACCAGAGGGGATGAATCACTGGACTTGATCTAACTTGGCCATTACTTTGAGTTATACATTGGTAAAACGTAATCCCTCTTTTTAATTTTTTTTTTCACCGATGAGAAGCTGTTATGTTGATAAAATCTGTCTGTAGATATCCAGAAAGACATAACATCCTTATCGGCAATTAGATGTGGGATTTCCAGCTATCATTATAGAAGCAAAAATGTAATGCTTTTGATTAGAGTTAAATATTTTTTCTTTTAAAGTCATGATTAAAATATAACTTGAGTTGGGAAAACATAATAAAACATTTAAACGTTTGTCTTGTCTATAAGAACGTTCATGCGTCTGACTTCCTTCCCAAATACTGAAGGCAAGGTTATAACATCTGAATATAAAAATTAAACACTATTATAACTCTAACAGTACCTAAAATGTCAGAAAAACAGACAGTTCCTTCTCTTTGGTGTTAGTGGTCTATGCAAAACCTGACTACAGAATAAATACAGTATTATGTATACCGCTATCACTTTTACAGTAATATGGGCGTCTGTGGATGAGTGGTTAATGCAGTCGTCCTCCAATGCAAGAGTTAGTGGTTCAATTCCACCAGCAGTCACATGCCAAAGTGTCCCTGGGCAAGACATTGAACACCTCATTACCTCTGATGTGTGTCCCATGGGTGTATGAATGTGATAAAGCACTGATTATTCTCAGTATAGATATAGTAGTATCCATTTTAATCTTTATTTAACCAGGCAAATCTCACTGAGATCACAAATCTCTCTCAGGCTTGGGCCTGAAGGCAGCCTAACATGCATGCTTTTGTTCTGTGGGAGGAAACCGGAGTACCCGGAGAAAATCCACGCAAGCACGAGAAGAACATGCAAACTCCACACAGAAAGACCCCAGGTCCACCCAGGGATTGAACCCAGAACCTTCTTGCTGGGAGGCAACAGTGCTAACCACTGAGCCATTGTGCTGTCAACAATAGAGTTGTAGAGTGCTGTATAAATGGGTAAATGAGGGCACAGATTGTACTGTAGTGTAAAGCGCATTGAGTATATTGAAAAGATAGAAATGTACTATATACTGTAAGTACAATACATTTACCATTTATGACTGTCTCTGTTTTTCAAATAGTCTATCAAGGACAGTATAGAGTTGCTTTTAGTTTATTTATAACTAATGATAATGATTACATAATAAGAATTAAGAAAGTTTACCAATCCCTTTTGTTCCCTGCTGCAGAGACAAGAGAATTTAGAAATATACTCTGTTTGTCCATTTGTGAGCTGGATAACTTAAAAATAACTACTGGCTTCCATTTTTCTATGTGGCTATATCAAGGCATAGGTAAGATCCTATCAAAAACTGGGTTGCCTCATAAAAATACAAGATGGCTGCCACCACATACATATGTATATGTGTGCACTGGATAACTTGGAAAAAAGTAACTTGCCAATTTCTATATACTGTATCTAGTTTTTGTTACGTTTGAGTTGTATTCAGTGGCGGAGAGGAGGCATCAGACAATCGACATAAGTCAAAAACTCACAACCACACTGGTACTGGGATTTTCACAGTGTTTGCCCTTTAATAAACACACTCTTCACCAACCTTACAAAGCCCGGTTGAACGGCTGCTATCTTATCAAACATGAAATAAGCAGAACCCAAACAACCCACAACATTACTAGAGTTAGGAATTTAAAGTGTCCATATCCGCGTGTGCGTTCATCCAGCAACACGTTCCTCCCAAGTTGCGTAAAGAGAGAGCAGTGTCGCACACTTGTGTCATCATTAGCAATAACGTGGACTGTCTTAAAGAAACACTATACAATTACGGCTGTTACATCGCAAGAAACCTCACCATCAAAAATCGGGTTGCCAAGTCAAAATCCCAGATGGCTGCCATCCAATATGTCAGTCCATCTTGTGAGCTATTGAAAAATAAGTGAGGTACCAACTTCCATTTTGGTGTCTGCAGTAACTGCACAGTGCACTGAAGCAAAAGAAAGGTTTATTTCAAATATTGAGATACCCCATCAAAATCCAAGGTGGCTGCCACCATGTATAAATATGAACCTTGTGAGCTGGATAACCTGAAATAGATATTATAGAAACATGCTGACTTGTTGTAAGGTTTGGCTCTATATCTAGATAGTATGAGACTGAGAACAACAACTTCACGGCCATTTACAGAAGTGAATAATAAGGAACAGTATGCTGGATCTGTAGACCTGGACTGGAACACTGGAGAGTAGGGAACATCATTAATAGGAAGCTCCTCTGGGGTGTTGGTTTTGATATTCAGTTTCTTACTATAAGCAGGCAGAGTCGTCACAGGGATGAAATCCAAAAAGGTTTCAAAATGCCTTACACAAACGTTAGGCAAGTGGTGGAAGGCAGGGAACAGCTGAAGATATCAAAAGGAGGCTCAGGAGGCAAACAGTGAGGTCCAAGGCTCAGGAGGACCACAGGAGTCAAGCTACAACAAGAGATCAAGATTAGTCTTTCACAAAACACAAGGAACAAGGTAAAGGCTAGGAACAACTACCGAAAGGCAGATACTAGCATTGGATATCAGTCATCAACTGCCTTGAGTACGTAGTCCTTGCAGCTCATCAAGGGAATGATCCTCAGGTGCAGATCTGTTGTCACCAAAGAGCTGCAAAAGAAAATGCTGGAACTCTTACACTTGCATTTTAGTGTGGGTTTTCATCTAGATGCAAAAGAAGTCACTATCAAAAACGAGCTCACCCTACTGATATTGTGCGGTTCCACGTCACTTCATAATTGTGTCCTCTACCAGAGGCCTGGAAGTTTGAGGAATCTGCTCAGTCTTCTGGACAGAGATCTCTGATGTTGTTCCTGGGATCTGTTGGTGGCACTCTTCCAGTTTGGGGGGTCACATCACCAATTGTTCCAGTGACCACTAGGACTACTGGTGCTTGGCCTCTCCACAACTTCTGTATTTCTTCTTTCAGCCCTTGGTATTTCTCAAGCTTTTCATGCTCCTTCTTCCAGATGTTACAGTCACTTGAGATTTCTAGATCTATCACCACGGCTTTCCTCTTTTGATTATTGACTACCACAATGTCCTGTTGGTTAGCCATTGTTAGTTGATCAGTCTGGATCTGGAAGTCCCACAGTAAAGACTTATATTTATGTGTGTGTATAAAACAGCCATCCAATCATTTGATATAATCCAATATTGTCCATTTTTGCTTAAAAGTAGTTTCCTCAAATGGCTGGTGTGGCCACTGGGCCAGCTGAAGATGAATTAAGGCTGCCATTGGACACCCCCTGGCTCTGCCATTGTGCCTGGTGGTGGATAAAATTGCTCCCTCTGCTCACCCGGATCCACCACCCTGCACTGCCTTGAACCCCCCCAACCTCTATTCTTATACACAGTGTAACTCATACCCACTTAAATATCTTGCACAAAACCCTTAAGGTTTACTTGCATTCCCTGTTCAGTTCCAGGCCAGAAAAACACTCATTTTGAAAACTACAAACATTCACTATACAAATCCCTCGGCGAGGGGAGACTTTGACGTACTACTTGTAATTTTTCAAACAGCTGCTGAAAGTTAAATAAGTGACTTATATCCTTTATTAACCACTTTAACTTCTAAACAAAGCTCCTGCATTTGCTTAAGAGAAATCCCTCAGTGAAGAAGGGCTTTGTCAGCATTTAGCTCTAATCTAATGTTACAATAAATGCAGTTTCAGAAGAAACACATGTCAAAAGAGACAGTGAAAGGTAAACTTTCCTGTTTTCTATTGAAATGAGTCTGTGGGCTGAGGTTACTCTGAAAATAGTTCTTGCTTTCATCTGCAGATATTTCATTGCATAATTACTTAGTCAGCTTTTCACACATAGTGCTAGTGTCAAACCAAGTCTGGACCGCCTCAGGCATAATTGTGGGACTCCAGCTTCATCGCCCAACAACAGAAGGCTCATTGTGGTCAAAGGAGGGAAACACTGGGAATGTTAAACCCCATGTGTACGGATTGCTGTTTCCTCCAGTTTCACTGACTTCTTAGTCATGGAAATGTGACAGATTTTAGTCTGACTTAAAGCAAAGGTTATTTTTGTCACTGTGACACTACGTCATGGGTGACATTTCGAAAGGGGAAAAGAAAAAACACACAAACACAAGTTTTGATGTGTTCACAGGCTGAGCTAAATGGGAAAACATGTGAGCATTAACAAACAAGTGCTAAAAACTGAATAAAAGTGAGGCAGACTGGATTGTCCTACTGAAAGTCTCTGGGAACAGAGACAGAGAATGATTAACATTCCTCCTCTTGACCTATAAGTTAAACACTGTGCTTGAACAACTCTTCCGGTGTGTTTAAAGTCCCAGAGTGTTGCATCTATTGGTCCAGACTCTTTAATAGTCTGAATTATATTTTCATTTGTGTAGAATCATTTGAAATGAAGGATAAGAGTGAGCACTTTACAAACAGGGATCCCTCTTTATTGCACTTTGCTCATGTTCATCACCCGCCAGTGTCTATGTGTGTGTTCACTTTGCCTATTAGTATAAACCACACAAACCAGCTAATAATTCTTACAAACTCTCACAAAGAAACCATTATTGTACTTTTAGGTCTACTTGTGTTGCTGCCTCTAGGCCAGGTTGCCATTGTCAATGAGAACTGGTTCTCAGTTGACCCATCTTGTAAAATAAATGTTATTATTATATTGTTGTTATTAATAAATATTAATCTACAACAGACTCACTTTTGGGGTCAATCCATTTTAAGATGGCCTGAACAAGTACTGTGTGTCATTTGTTAATCTTAGTGTATCTTGATCCTTTTTTACTGTTTCATTTTACATTTGATATTTTTGGGTGTAACTGGGACCCTGTGTACATAATTTTGTTCCACCTCATGTACCACATGTGGTGGAAATTACAATAAAGTTGACTTGAACTTGAGCAGTTATGTGACCTCGGCAACAACTGAAATGGCTATAACTCATATAGTAGTGCCTGAGAGTCAATCACAACTTATACTTGAAGCTACTGAGCACAACTGTTGGGAATCAACTGTTTGTTTCGGTGTTAGCAAAATATAGCAATGATTATTATGGAGGCTTTATGTCCGTACATCTGTAAACTTTCCCTTGTCTGGGCCATAACTTCTGATCTGCTCAGATCTGGAGTGTGACATACACTTTTCATCACCTCAGCTCCAAGGTCAACATTGCAGGCCAAAGTCAAATATTATACAAGGTTTTTGCTAGTCTGAGCCACTGCTATAGATTGATGACCATTAAAAGACAAAAATGCAGTGCATAACTGATGAATATATTTTCTGTTTTTAAATTTAATTATATATTTTTATTTAAATAAAGTTTCCTTTAATTGTTTATTGGGCTAAAATAATCTCAGCTTTTTTCCAAAATGATCAGTCGACCTCCTGAGGATTTCTATCAATGGTTGGCTATAGTGACCATCTTAATTTGGAGTGTCTCCAAAAGTTAATCAGTTGTAGATGTCTCAGAATAAATTGGGAATAAGTCTCACAAACACACCAAATTTAGCTCAATATCTGTAAAACTGACTGACAGGGCCATTTTTATGTTGGCAAAGGTAGCATTGGTAGCCATGTTGAATTGGGTTGATTATTTGTTCCTGTTCCTCCAATTATATTTTTCTGAAAGTTTTATTAAGATCCATTCATGATGCATATTGCTACCTGTACAGACAAATAAATACACACCCCCTACACACACACACACAGTTTGAGGCAAAAACATTATTGCTCCACCTTTAGCTTCAGCAGCAGACAATGCTAACTACAAAGTATAAACATCCATCCTTCCAAAATATCTTTACCCACCTCTGCATTTTCTACTTTCATCCTGCTTTCTTGCCTCTATTTTACACCCTACTGTAAAAACTAATTATAGTTAAAAGCAGCAACCCTGAAAATATAAGACTTTCCTGAAGTTTGTGTTGTTCAAATTTAGAGATATTCTCAGTGCAACACATCTATATCACAAACAGTGGGTATGAAAAGTTGCACAAAACCAATATTACTGACTAGAAATTAATTTTGATATTAAATTAAACCTTTCTCCATATGAAAGTTGGTAAATATCAAAATGCATTATATACCCTTCAATGGCTGAAGAGAACAGAAAAAAAAAACAAGTTTATTTTTCTTAATAGGTTGTCCTCTCAAACCAGCTGGTCAAAGCAGATGGCCGCTTGTCCTGAGTCTGGTTCTGCTGGAGGTTTCTTCCTATTAAAAGGGAGTTTTTCCTTTCCACTGTTGCCACTGTGCTTGCTCAGGATGGGAAACTGCAATGAAGCCAAGATTCAACTTGTCTGCTGGATTCCTTAGATAGAGAACTTTACTAATTGGCTTTTATGTATGTGAATGTTCCTGTAAAGTGCCCTGAGACAACTTTGTTGTGATTTGGCGCTATATAAATAAACTGAATTGAAATTGAATTGTTTTTGTGTTGTAGATTTAGGATTAACTGCAACAGCAATCTGACATTTTGTCCCTCTTCCTCCACAGGGTTCATCTTTGTGCTCATCAGCTCTGCATCTGGAAGCTGTGATAACGGCCTAGAATTTAAAGAAGGAAAATGTTCTGGTAAATCATCCATGATTTATCTTTTCTTATACAGTTTATTTTATGACCACCAGTGCTCAAAAAAAACAAAACTCACAGAAATTATTACAATTGTAAAATGTTGATGTTAAATTTACCAATATTTGTAATGTTTATGATGTAGTTTTTTATTTTCTTCAGTTATTATTAGCATTATCATTATTATTATTATTATTATTTATATTTTAGTGCATGTAGTAGCATTTTACTCAACTAGGTCAACATAGTGAGAAATATTTCTGACTATACTTCAGCCAAATTCATCTTTAACTGTAACTCATTTCACTGTTTTCAAAATTACAGACATTAACGAGTGTGAATCATCGAGTCAAGAAAATGTGACTATTTGTGGGAAGAACTCAAATTGCTTCAACACGAATGGCAGCTACTACTGTCAGTGTCGTGTTGGGTTTGAAAATTTGCCAAAGAATAGGGCTACAAACTTCACAGCTAAAGATGGCCAGTGCATTGGTAAGTTCAAGTACGTGTGTGTAAGTGTGTGTGTGTTAGACCATGTGACACTGACAGTGTTCTCATTTGTTCCTCTGTCAGACACCAACGAATGTCTAAAAAATAAAAACATCTGTGGTAAACTGGCTAAATGTGAAAATCTGATCGGGAGCTACAGGTGCGTCTGCCCGTCTGGATACGTCAACAAAAGTCACAACAACAGGACGGAGCACTGCGAAGGTCAGTGTTGTCTTTGACCTATTTAATTTTTTTAAACTTAATTTGTACTTGTACAAATGTATTTCTGGTGAACTCAGCTTGAACTAAATGTGTAAAATGATAAGCATGGTGTGAGGAGACGTACTGAGGAAACCAGATGTTTACATACACTGTAGAAAAAGACAACTTTTTTTTCAAGTTGTCTGTCATTAAATCAAACTAGACCTTTCCTGTTGTAGGACAGTTACAATTCCTTATATTATTATTCCTCAAATTATTATTATTTTTTTGCTAAATGCCTGAATGAGAGAAATAATTTAAATTACTTTACAATCACACATTCTCATACACTAAGATTGCAATGCACTTAAATATTTTGGGAAAGCTCAGATGATGATGATGATGTCATCATCAAGTTTGCAAATTCCTGAACATTCATCTGTTCAACCAATTAAAGGCAAGCACAAACACCATGGGAATGCTTTGCCATCATACCACTCAGGAAGGGGAAAGGTTCTGTTTTAGAGATGGATGTTTTGGTATGAAACGTGTGCAACAAACCCAAAATTAAAGACCTTGTGAAGATGTTGGCAGAAACTGGTCAGCGAGGGTCTTTATTCACAGTGAAAGAAGTCCTGCACTGACATTGGCTGCTGAAAGACCAGTCAGTGTGGAAAAAGCATTTACTCCAAAAGCAACATAAAAATATTACGGTATATAACTGCACACATGGATAAAGACCATGACTGAAGACCATTAAAATGGTTTGCCCACAAAGACCATACATTATGTTTACATATGTTACATTTGAAGGGAAAAAGGAAAAGCTTGCAAACCCAATCTGGCGCCCAATGTGGGGCCAAATGTTGTGGCTAAAACATACGAAGACTTAAATCTTTCATTAAAAACCAGACGACACTGAATTTCATAATGACAGCAAAAATTAAGGTTCATTGAAGAGGTGCAAAAACAATCAGCCGAACAACATAAGAATCATAAAAATAACCCCTCTTTTACAGATATTCACAAAGCTTATACTATTCTTATCTCTTGTGCCACAACAGCCTTTACTTATCACTCGTACACTCAATCATATAACAATTGCTGCTATACCCAGATATATGGACAGAGAAGAACAGATACTAAGACTCAGGATGAATTTACCGTGTTTATTTATAAAGTGGTAAATCATAGAGGGAGCTGGAACCCTGAAGAGTAAGGAGATGATTAGTGGTCTGTTGGCAGGGGTGATAATGTTGTTGATTTTTCTTACATTGGAGGTCGGAATCAGTAGTGGGGAGAGCTGACCCAAATGGTTCCAGATGAAGAAGGTGTATGTCTGAACAATGGCAGACATTAGGCAAGTGGTAGGAAGGTGTGGAGGCACAGAGGAGCTTGAGGTCCACAGAAGAGAATCCAGGAAACAGGAGGACATCAGAGATTAATTGCTGGAGGCATGGAGAGAATATAAATTCATTAGTATTTAGTTTCAGATGTGAGTAAAAGGCTAGAACAGAACTACCGTTGGCAGGCAATGCTCCAGCGCTGGCTGAATTTCCTCTGCAGCCTTTTATGTTCCTCATGCTCATCTAATGGATGATTCTCAGGCACTGCTGATTAGAGTCTGGCTGTGAGTGCAGGAGCTGGCAGAGCAGAACTCCCACAAATCAGAGAGGATGTACCGGGTCAGGACCTCAACCCAGACTTCATGGAGTCTTTTTTTCTAGGTTTCACTGATAATACGTCATCTCTTATTACACTACCTGATAAACAAAAATGCTCCTACAAGGGGTGTATTTGTAAATTTCTTTTTGTAGGATTGTGTGGTTTCAAGTCAAATAAGTCATCTGATGCTTGATTGTTACTCTTGTTTTTTTTTAAATATTTTGTATTGATTTGATTAGCGTGTTTCTTGGTGTGTTTCAGTTACGGTCTTACTTTCCGCTTCACCTCATCTCTGGCCTTAATTTACCAACTACATCACCTGCAGCGTCAGTCCGTACTTGTCAGTATAAATGGTTTCCTTTGTTCTCTGTGAGGTCCTTGTTGTCTTCTCAATGAGTCTGTTTATGTTTCTCATCTTTTTGTCTGTCTTTGCTCATGGATTTCCTGTTTCAGCTGCACTTTGTGTAACAAACACCTGTGGTCATGCTCACCTGTCTGCCAGCTTGCCCTGGACTCCTTCCAGTACAACACAAGGACTGAACTTCCAGTTTTTTTATACACAGCACATCTACCTCTATTCATATCTGTTTGATCTACTGAACATCAAGAAAAGATTTAGAGAAATAAAAATAAAATAATAGTTGCCTGCAAGCAGGTTGCATCCAGAGAATTCAGCTTTAATTTATCTCCACTTCTTCTTGTCATTATCATTTGATGAACATCCAGTACCTTCTGCCAAATGCTGCCTCTGCTCATTTTTAACTACACCCCCTCCACATAAACACAATTATTCATTACATCTGTAAACACCGGGAGCTTAAGTTGCACTCAGACATGACGGCATGCAGTTTATTCAACAGAGATCTATTTGACAAATGCAGAAACACCGTGTAACAATAACACAAGTAGAGGATTTATGAAAACTAACTGGTTGAGTAGTCTCTGTTATACAGAAAATCACATCTTCATCATCTGTCAGTAAACCAGACCAGACCCCACAAGGCCGCAACAGCAAATCCCCTGACAGTAGTGGTACATTTCATCGTGAACTGTTAAAAAAAAAGAAGGAAGACTATTAGTTTGTTCTTCTTTTGGATCTTTTGCAAACATGGTTTGTAGTGAATAATTAAATTCCTGAAGTTACTCAGTAGTTAAAGGTAAATCCACTCTGCCGGCACCCAGCGCAAGACAAAAGTTCATTTTAAACATTAGTTTAACCTTTTTTACTTGTTTATTCTGTTTTGTAAAGCAGTTGTGTAGAAAAAGAATCATAAATATTAAACATCAAAGTTCATGCTCAATAATCCAGGTAAAAAAACTCCAACAAAGTTCAGTCAGATCCTCTGGACGGTTAATTTTTTTGTTGAGACGTTTCATCCTTCATCCAAAGGACTTCATCAGTCCGAGGAGCCACAACAAACTCAGTTCCACAAATGGCACACTCACATAGTGGACCAACCACGGTTTCTGGAGTCCGCCCTCTTCCCCGTCGACTCCTCGGAGTGGTTCAAAACATCAAAGTTCATGCGCAATAATCCTGGCTATGGCTGCCTCAGAGGAGTTGACAGGGGAGAGGGCGGGCCCCAGAAACCATCTTATCACCATCAAACTGGTTGGTACACTATGTGAGTGTGCTGACTGAAGTTGTTGTGGCTCCTCAGACTGATGAAGTCCTTTGGATGAAGGAGGAAATGTCTCAATCAATAAAGAAACCGTCCAGAGGACCTGACTTAACTTTGTAGCATAAATATTAAACTATTGTGAAATTAATTCAAATAGATTGCTATTATTAATGGCCATGTTTGAAGTTTTTTATTCCTTTTGGTAAAAGTAGCTTTTCATTAACGGCTGAGTTGTGTTGTCTTTGGCCCTATTCGGACCTGAAACCAACATCCTGGCAGAATCGATCACAAGCGGACAGCTTTAAAAACGAGTGTCCCCGACTGGAAGTAAAGTCCATCCGGAGTCATCAGGTCTCACTTATCTGCTCCACATGCAAACAAACACAGGCAGCTGATTAACAGGACGTCTGCAGGTCTCAGCAGAAAGACCTCATCTAAATCAATGTCCAGACACGATCGTGTTTCTGACAACTCCCCAGCCTTTTACCGGCTGGTTTTCGACACACCGTCACTAAAGTGTGTATAAACGAGCCTGCACGTGAAATGCAGATGGAAAGCAAAAATATTCCTGATTTGATTCATAAGCATTTTACAATGAGATGACCATGGCAGGTACAACGAGCTCCACAACGGAAACAACAACTATACTGTTCAGGAGGTTCGCTGATAAAGAGCCTTGATCATCCACTGATCAATAATAAACTGATAAAAATGTATTTTTTTTATTTGGCAGCAGTCAATATCCAGTTTAATAAAACTATTAAGACCAAAAAAGGCTTTTGAGTACAATTTCACACATTAGCAGCATTTTTTTTTAGCCTCTGAAACTGATCCAGAGTGCATTTTATAAATTATGCAAGAATGATTTTTTATTTTTTTTATTTTGCTATTAACCATTTTGAGTAGACTCTGTCTGTCTGTTGGCAAAATATCTCTTGAATATCTTGACAGATTTTCAAGAAAACTTTCAGGAATTATTTATTGAATGTACATCTACAAGCGATTGACATTTGGAGCCAGTCAAATTCAAAATGGCTGCGCTTGCTGCTTGACTTGCGAAAACACAAAAATATCAATAATTACAACAATTATACAGATACTGTGTGAAGATTTGATGTATTTTCAGCTCAAAGTCATTCACAACACATATTCAAAGAAAACCCTGTTGCTGTTTTAGCTAAATATCTCATGAACCACCTAATAGATTTGGATAAAGCTTTCGGAAAGTATTCTTGGATGGACATCTAAAATAAAAAAACTTTTGACGTTAACGTAACTGAAGATGGACACCATGGCTAATGAACAATGCAAACACAACGAAGCCAGTTTTCAACATGTTGAGCTAAAATTTGACCTGGTTGCATCGTGCAATGTTGCACACAACTGTGCAAAACCTCTTTAATGCTTGAACAAAAAGGCTATGATTCTAATTTCCCAGCATAAAATGATCTTGGGTCTAAAACTTTTGCTTTCCCTAATGTTTTAATGCTGTTTCTGTTGGCGGATGTAAACGTGGGAGGTTACAGTGATTAATAGAGTTGACTGGTTCGCACAAGAAACCCACATTAGTGAGCTGCTGGTGAAAGTGCAGACATGTTTGTTCCATTGTCAACTCGAGCAATTTGTTTTTACCTGCCTTAAACTGCTAATCTCACCTTTCAGCCTTGACTTACGCTTCCGTTTTCTTTTGCAGACATAAATGAATGTGAGGAAGCTGAAAAGAACCAAGAAAATATCTGTGGAGACAAAGGGACTTGTGAGAACATTAATGGGAGCTACTGGTGTAAATGTCAAAGAGGATACACCAACTATGGCAACGAACGGACACCATGCTCGAGTAAGTGTTTGCAACACTTACAAAATGTGCACATTGTGGCTTTTGTTTTTTATTTAAGTGGAGGAAAATATCTTCTGCTGTTTGGTCCATTTCCAGATGGCCTGGGGTGTCTCACATGATAATGTGAAGGTTCTGTTCACTGCTTGTCACTCTTATTTCTTCAAAACGAATGTTGCAATCAAGTGACGTCAGCTGGTTTGGAGATAATGTAAATGTCTGCGTAATTTTCCATTTTTTTATTTTTATCTAGAGCTCAACTGTGACAGGTTTACAGCCAGCAAGCCTTCACCGGTAAGTTTGGATGCACAGTTCTGAGCACATTTGAGTCGTTGCAGCAAAAAGTTTACTAACCACACTGAGAGGATAAACGGTTATGAAAGATAGTAGCCAAACCTTTCTAGGTCCTCTAAGAACACTGCCACTAATTTTGTCTGTTCACCAGACCTGCCTGCGGCCCATTAAGGCACTGTGTTCCTAAAATTCAGTTAATGGGAAGCAGAATAGTCTCTTTATTCCCTCCGTCTGTGTTTTCCAGTCACTCGGAGGCCTGGCAGACATATTGACCATGATGAGAAACAGCTGTTTGGCTCTGTCCGACTCAACTGTTCCCGGTGAAGGGAAGGCTGATGGCGAAGCGCTGCTAGAGGTGAGAAAAAGATACAAAAACACAAGCAGTTACATTTGGAAACTTCATGCAAAGAATGTGCAAACTTAACCAGAAGTTGGAAACAGAGGGTTTTTCTCAGGGGTTGCCATGTAGGCCCTACATCATTAAAAGCGTATGTAAAAAGTTTTATTGATTTGAGAGCAATAAACCTTCAGAATAAAAAAAATATTTTTGTCTTGAACGACAAAAGCTTTCTCATAAGAGAACGTAAAAGTTGTATTGCACTACACTTTAAAGCATCTAAATAAGCTGTTGCAATGTTTTTATTTTGTCTTCGCTGTACAACAAATGTAAAAGAAAATAAAAGCCTACCCCACTTTTTTTCAATAATGTCACAAAATTAAAAAAAAACTTGCAAAAATAAATAAATTTAAAAAACAATAAAAAAAAAGGGAAGTTAGAAAAAAAAAGACTTGCAGGAAACCTTAACCTGATACAAACGCTTTAAGATTTCTAAATCCTCCTCCTGTGTCGTGCACCTTGGATAGAAACTTTTGACGGCGACTGACTTGGTTCTGTCTCCTGGACCCGTGGAGAGCAGTAAAGGTGTGAGCGGGCTGCTTGGTGCCGTGGAGAACTCGATTTTACTGATTGGTCCTCAGCTCAAAGTCAACAACACCAAGATGGACACCAAAGAAACCGGTAACAGCTTTTAGTCTTAAAGCTCAGATTTCTTTCCTTTCTTGATCATGAACCTTTTAGGGCATCAAGATGATTTTACATGTTTGAACAGTTGCACAGATCGCTGTGATAAAAGGGAAAACTCGCCCAACTGGACCTCTCCATTTGACCAATGGAAACACTAGTCTGAACACCGACTGGTCTACAGCTGCAGGGACAGGACCATATCCTGGTAAACCTTTTTGTTTGTTTGTTTTGTTTTGATAAATAAAAATAGTCTTCATCTAAGCAGACATTAAGTTCCTGAATCAGTAACAACACAAATTTTACAAATTGCATTAAGCGTTGTGTAATGTAGAACGAAGAAATCCGACTTATGTCTACAAGACCGCTGATTTAACCAGTGACCCATCACAGCCACATGCGCTCATCACAGAACTGGTTTTCCTCGGTTTTTGTCTCTCCTCTGTCCTCCTCAGTTTTCTATTCTGGTCCCCTCTGTCTACTCCAAATGGATTTAAAATGCATATCTCCACTGTTGAGCTCAGCAGGTTTCACCGCAGCTCTGAGCTCACGTCAGGTCTAGTAGTGGCCGTATTAATGCATTTAAACCAGACAAAAGTGTCCGTAGGGCAAAAAATCTGACGCCCCAAGTGAAATTTTATTGGAGCTAGATGTTCGGATCACAGGAGACATGTTCTGATCCGCTTGATGAATGAGGGTCAGTGAACGGTATCGCCCCATAACAGTAAATAAGTAAAAATCTGAAAATGAATCACTAAAAATCATTAAAAACTTGATTTTATATTGTCGAAACAGTTGAAAAACACAGAACAAAACAATACTTCATAAATAAGTAATTTACATTGTTTATTAGGAGGATCTACTTTGTGGGGCAAATTAATTGTTTTAGGTGTGGCTGCGACCCACCTGCCCCAATGGAGCAGCCACCACTGGTCTTCATCCAAAAACGCAATCTTACTCTGAGTGTTTCCATACAGGGTTTGCACTCGCTGCATTGTTGAGCTACAAGAACCTTGAGGGATTCATGAACAGATCCTTCGAGGAGCTCAAAGAAGCTGAAGAAGATGACGTGTCCTTCCAGGTTTTCTCCAAAGTCGTGTCTGTTGTGGTTTCTAATCCGTCCACCCAGAAGCTGAGCAGCCCTGTCAACATCACCTTCAGACATCTACAGGTAATCCAGTCTTTTCGATTACTCCACTGCGGTCCTTTTCCTCTAAAATGCCACATCTTCTGAGCGTTATGGACAACAACACCAAAAATCTAAATTAAGTGTCCTCTTTTTACACCTAAACTCCAAAGCGATCTCCTGCTTCTTTACAGTTCTAATCTTAGCTCCTAAATATATTTAAAAGGCAACATAACATTTCACGTGAAATACTTGGCGCTGTCTTAAGATTACAGAAAGCTCTAAATACAACACCGTCTCACTGAAAGCTGGTTTTGCTTTGCATTCAGGACCAAGAGACGAGCCCTGAGGTGGGCTTCATCTGTGTGTACTGGAGTGAAAGCGGGGCCTGGTCCTCAGATGGTTGCACTCAGCAACAAACCAACGTCACACACACCGTGTGTAGATGTGAACATCTGAGCAGCTTTGCTGTGCTGATGGCGCTCTACCCCATGGAGGTAAGTGACCCCTGCAGAAACCACATACATAATGCACAGTTCGTTGTTAATGTCCATTTTATTGATTTTTAATTAAAACAACTCGATCATTCTTATCCATCCATCCATTATTTTTACCCGCTTATTCCATTTTGGGTCACGGGGGTCGCCGGTGCCCATGTCCAGCAATCACTGTGCGAGGGGCGGGGTACACCCTGGACGGGTCGCAAGTCCATCACAGGGCCACATAGAGACAAACGAGACAAACAACCATTCACTTTCTCACTCACACCTAGGGACAATTTAAAGTTACCAATCAGCCTAACATGCATGTTAGGCTGATTGGTAACT